GATAACTTTGGTCACTATAATCGTGATATGAAATTTTCATACCGTTCCGCGCTCAGTCTCAAACAGCTTGTGAGCCACAAATACCAAAATGAGTGGCTAACTGCGCTAAAACGTTCAAATACATTAAAAAAATGGTCAAAATGCCTGTCTTGGCGAGTATCCAGTTAAACAGTCAGTTTTGGAATGTTAAATAGTTGAGAAAGAGAACGCATGTTGTGTAACAGTATATTGGGTCCGTGGATAAACTCTTAAAGGGACCGCAGTCCAATATTTATGTTGCTGTCTGTTAGGGGTGTGCGATTATATATCGTCTGCGATTTAATATCTTAATCGTTGTTTTAACGATGTGTGATTTGACGTTATCGAGTATTTTGCAAAAACCTTTCAAAACACCCCTACAGAGTGCACGCATACATTACGTGAAGTTTAAACTAGTGCGCGTGCGCATTTAGAATGCATTTTTTCACTGCATGATTCAGTCTACAATGCATTTAGAATGATCACAAATTCATGACATGATGGCAGAAAATGTGTATATATTTATACCATTTCATATAGTTAATCAATATCAAACAAAGAGTGCAGTTTTTTTTTTTTTTAAATGAACGATTACAAATGTGAAATGTGCTAAACAAGAAGTTAATTTAGAGACATATTAGACACCATGAATCAAACGTTTAAATGACTCTGTTCAATCGCTATAACTCGCTTATTAACAGTGACTTTCTGCCCCCTACTGGCGATTTGTATTTCACATTCAGTATATTTTATTATTTAAATCATTTCAAACGTTTTATGTTAAATCAGTTTAAACTTATTGGAAAAGATTAATTTCTATCAGTGTGAACTGACCACCACACAGATTATGAAGAATATCAAAAACTTTAGGAGTCCGCTGTCTATGGCAGTCCTTAAGATATCAGCACAATAACACACTCCGCAAAATATCGTCTAATTATCGTTATCAATAAAATCCCAGAAAATATCGAGATATTATTTGTCAATATCACACACCCCTACTCTCTGTCATATTAATCAAAGAACAATTTTCTGCTCTTGACTGAATACGTTTTATAACTTTAATGGTAAGCATTAATCTGTATTTAATTTTTACAAGACTACAGAAATTAAAGTAATCAAATGTAAAATAACACTGGATGCGTTTTTACATTTGATACTTTAATTTCTGTAGTATTGCTTAACTGAATAAAAACTTACTTAATCTGAAAAACTTAGTTTCATATAAAATCTGGTAATATTCAGTCAACTCTTTTTTTCAGTTTCTCAGTTTTTAAATTAATCTTTAATATAAAATTTTAGGTTAAACATTTCTCTGGAACCATATGAGATAATCTTGGCCCTGCAGTTTTTTTTTTTTTTTTCAAGTTTTTTTTTTTTTTTTTTTTTTTTTTTTTTTTTTATGAAAATAAAACTCTGCGTTGAAGAAAAGTAGATTTTTGTTCGTATATGCTGTCAATTATAGTTCTTAGAAAATCGGTATTGGCAGATCACACTAGCAAAAAATCGGAATTGGCCAAGAAAATTGCAATCGGTGCATCTCTAGAAAATATCGGACTCTGTGTGCAAGGACCTTTAGAATTTTTATTGTATTTTTATCATGTTTTTGCCATAAAGCCTTGGATGCTGACATGGCAATACAAATAAATAACTAACTACTGCTGCGCAGTATTAGTTGAGGTCGTTATGAGCGTGCTAATTCTGTGTGTGCTGTCTAGTTATCCCTTAAATGTGAGAATTCAAACATGAAATTTTATATTTGTGTTTTAACACTTGATAGTCATAGATATGTTAAAAGTAAGAAATTGAAGTTCAAAAAGACTGCATTGCATTGTGGGGTGCATTTCTAGACGGAACAGGAAAGTGTTCTCTTGGTTACAAACTTTTTTTTTTTCTTTTTTTTTTTATATGTATATGTATGCATGTATAAATTTACATCGCACATTAGCTACACTTTGGCAAATACAATAAGTAATACAATTATTTAATGTATACAAAATGTATGCGTACTATGCACAGTTCTGTACATGCTGCAGAAATGGTAGTATGCAATTTTAAACACTCATTTTAGCAAATTGATTTGTAATATTTAAAAAAAAAAAAATTCCCCCACACAGGTGACTCTGAGTTGACCATTATTTGTACTTCGCTGGTATGGGAGGGAAATAATTTATTTAATCTATATTGTATAAAATGTTAATACAATGTAATGTATAATTTTTCACTTCAAGTCAGTGAAGCAGTTCATTGATCATTATGTGTGTGTGTGTGTGTGTGTATATATGTGTATATATATATATGTATGTGTGTGTGTGTGTGTGTGTGTGTGTGTGTATAGGTTGATCATGTGTCCTCTTTTTCTGGGACATGTCCTGGACAGGATTTGTAAATTGTCTAAAAGGTCTGGGTTTTACCTTTTTTGTTTTTTATTGGTTTCATACTTGCTGAAGGCAAGGAGTGAAAAGTAGTTTGACCAATAGTGTGCAGGCATTGTACATAATGTGAGATCTACAGAAAACATCAAAGCAATGCAAATACCTGTACATGGAATGTATGAAGACAGCCAATAGGAAAACCAAGCTAAAACCCAGACATTAGGCAGTTTAGAAATCCTGGAAAAAGAGCGCATATGGTCAGCATAATGTATGAAATTAAATGTTTGCAAATTGTGTAAAATGCTACATTAAGTCTACATGTCATGAGGTTCTGCAGTTAAAAGTGATTCTCTTTGTTTGCCTCAAGATGAAACCGTCCCAGTGATCTTGGCGTGTAGTTGTTTTCGTCTGTTTGTTAGATGCTCATTCGTGTGAGTGTGTTTTTCCAGTTGTCACTCAGCCGACGGCGTCCGCCGCTCCTCCGAGCACAGCTGAAGGTGAAGAGACCAAAACACCCGACGCCCCCAAACCCAAGAAGAACAGATGCTTCATGTGCCGCAAGAAGGTGGGCCTGACAGGTGAGCACAGTTCACACACATTACATCACAGCTCCGGTGTGATCGCTCCGCACTGGTTCTGATGCTGATGTCTGGTTCGTCAGGGTTCGACTGCCGCTGTGGGAATCTCTTCTGTGGACTCCATCGCTACTCGGACAAGCACAACTGCCCCTACGACTACAAGGCAGAGGCTGCGGCCAAGATCCGCAAAGAGAACCCGGTGGTGGTGGCCGATAAGATTCAGAGAATTTAAAGCGCTCGCCGTCTGCACCTCGACTTTGCGAGAGATCAGATACAAGGACTCGCACGTTGACCTGTGATTCTAAAGACTAGTTTTTTTAATTACAATATGGGAAAGAATCTTGTTTCTATGCCGATGCATGAGTGATCACTGTTTCCACCTTTCTTTTGCTTTCTGTTGTTGGTATATGAGCTTCAAGGTAAAACAAATGGGGGGGGGGGAAGAATATCTATAAACGGTGTGAAGCCAGAGACGTTGCCTAACGTGTGTTTCTGAGTGGAAAATGTGCTGTAACCTGGAATCTGATTGTGTTAAAGGCTGACCATCCGTGGTGATTGTCATTAGTTTACTCCGTGATCGTGTCTCCTGGTCGGACTCTGAAGACTGTTACGGCTCTGACCCGAGCGCCGTCAGAGCAGCAGTGCATGGCTGGCTCATGTAGCAAATGGACGCTCTTCTGTTTCCTCCGGGTCAAACGTTCGGCCCTCCCATTATAGAGTCAGCCTTTACGACATTTATCAGCCACCTTTTCTGCTTGAGCATCAGCCTGCCGTCAGTTATCCAGCTATTGGAGTGATGCTGGGGTTTCCTTTTCATTCAACTGTTAATGATTTTTAAACCGTTGACAGACTTTGTGAAAAAAAAAAAATATATATATATATATATAATCCAATTCGGGTGGTTTATCCAGCTATTGGAGTGATGCTGGGGTTTCCTTTTCATTCAACTGTTAATGATTTTTAAACCGTTGACAGACTTTGTGAAAAAAAATATATATATATATATATAATCCAATTCGGGTGGTTTAATGCAGCCAGGCCAGAATGCTTCATGATCAATTTTGAGCACCTGCATCCATGATACAGTGTCAAGTTCAGATGAGGTTGGACATGGCAGCAACACAAAACTGTTTATTCATTCTCCCACATGATCCTTTAAGACATTTAAGTGAATCAATTTGGTTTTTTTTCATTGAGTTGTAATGTGACACCTATTCGATTTATGGGCTTGTTGAGGGTTTGTTGGACTTTAAATGGTTGTTTTGCATGGTTAGTGAAGTGAGTATTTTACAGTTGACCGCATACTAGAAGTCCATTTTCTTTTCTTTTTTTTCTTTCTTTTTGCTCTTTAATTCACTTTCCTCGTGTGTGTGTGTGTGTGTGTGTGATTGATCTTTTCATTGGGTACTGAGTGTTAAATGCAGGTAAGAAATAATGGTATTGTTTAGTGTCATTTAATCAGCCCTGTGCTCGAGTGTTGTGTGCGTCAGTGTATGTGAGTTAATCAACATCTTTTTCATCTGAGGCTCAGTCCGTTTCAGTTTTCTTTTTTGGGGGGGTCTGGCTGCACAGCGCTGTTTTGTTTTCGAGCTTCGTGAGTTTACACAGTGAAACTAACCATCTGTTCAGATTTGATTTTAGTTATGCAAGTTTGTACAAACCATCTTTATTTATTATATGTGTTGCGCATATAATCTTGTTACCCGACATTACTGCGAAATTGTATCATGTAAATAAAATTATGTACAGAGATATCATTAAAATGTGTTTTTTTTTGTCGTTTTGTTATAGAGATGTCCATTATTACGAGATTTTCGGTTTCTGAGACGTGCGCGTGGAGCTGAGAATTAATTATTTTTGTCTCAGCAGGTTTAATGGAATATTTAAAAAAAAAAAAAAAAAAAAAAAAAAAAAAAAGGCACGTGTATTTCCAGCATAACTTGGTTTTTCAGATAAATTTGGTGATTAAATCCTGCGCTTTTTTTTTCTTTTTTTTTTTTCTGCTCTGTATGTTAACAAAAGTTTAAGTCTTTTTTTTTTTTCCTTCAAATTTTGAAAAGGTAACCCATGCCTTTATCTCTTCCAGGCTGGATTACTGTAATTCTCTTTATGTTGGGATTAGCTATTCAGCTTTGTCCTGATTACAGTAAGTTCAAAATGCGCAGCTAGACTCCTGACTTCTCGTTTAGAAATCTGTAAATGGTTTGGCTCCATCAAACCTCTCTGAATTACTGATTGAGCATCATCCAACCAGAGACTGTTGGTTATTCCGAGGTCAAAGTACAAGTGTAGAGGTGACCGTGCTTCCTCTAGCTGTCCCCAGACTCTGGAATGACTTAACATTGCTATTAGACTCTCTCCCTCTGTATTTGTTTTTAAGTCTAGCCTAAAAACCTATTTGTTTGAGAAGGCGTACAATCTATGTTGAAGCTTTTCTGTCTTGTATTTTATTGCTATTTTACTATTCTATCATTTTAATTTCTTTAGTATTGTTTAGTGTTTTTTTTTTTGTTTTGTTTTTTTGTAAAGCACATTGGTCTGCTCTGGTTGTAATTAATGGTGCTATATAAATATAATTGCCATTTCTAATAAGTAGAGAAAACCAATGGTCAGTTCTTATAGGGGACGTCCCATTCTATATGCACACCGCATATAAAACCATTTTACTGCAGCATTTTTGTGATATCGGGCATTATTACACTTTAGAGGGCTATAAAGATCCCATTTCTAATAAGTAGGCAAAAACAATGGTCCGTTCTTATACGGGACGTCCCATACTATATGCACACCGCATATAAAAACAATTTGCTGCATCATTTTAGATGTGTATATAACATTACACTGGAGAAATTGTGCAGTGTCTGAGAATTGTATTTACTTTGAATGCATGCAACTCCAAATTGCTACAGTAAAATGTCTTCATATAAAGGGTGCACACAGAATGGGAGGTCCGTTATTAGAATTGGTTAATTTTTTACTCCGAATGCGTAAATGTACAGTTTTAAAACTATAAGATTGAAATAATTGCATGCTCCTTTATGATACAGTAAAATGTTTCTTTTTGATTTACGCATTGAAGATGTGAGATGACGAGAATCAACCCTTTTTTTCTTTTTTACTTACTAGATGACACCTCTCTATAAGCCTCTGAAGTAAAATAATGGTGCATTTCTCTAAAATTCCTCAGTAAAATGGTTTCATATGAAGTGTGCATATGATCTGAAATGTCCCCTATAAGAACTGATCATTGTTTTTCTCTACAGATTTGATCTTAGAGTGTGTGTACCCTAAAATCCACGGCAACGTTCATATTTATAAAAACGCTCTTTGACGTGGAAAAGTACTTACCGTCACGTCAGGGTCTGAGCAGGCGTACGCACTTTTCTTTGTGGCAAAGTCGGCGAACTGCAGCTTTTTGAACATTTAAAGGTGACATATCATGAAAATCTGACTTTTCCAGGTTTTACGTGCTATAATCAGGTCCCCGGTGCATCTACCAACCAAGGAAACGTGAAAAAGATTAACCCAGTTGTTTTGGTCAGCCTTTTTCTGCAAGCGTCTGAGAAAACGAGCGCGTCTGATTTTGCTCCCTTTGTGACGTGGCAAAGGGATCTCATTATAATATTACCGCCCCTTAATCAATAAACTTCCACCCACGGCGCGAGAAGGGTCTGGCTGCAGCCTTGCACTCTCAGACACTTGAGCTTCTGCTAGCGACCTCACTTGCAATCACACAAATGGTGCGTGTTGCCAATGGAGACAAGAAGCTGTGGTGATTAAATGATTAAAACTAATTTAGTAACATACAGGGTCCTGCAAGAAAAAGACAAGACCCGCAAATCCGTGGCCACAGAACAGCAGAATATGAACGCAATGCACAAAGTCTCTCGTTAAGCGTTTCCTCCTGTAGAAAAACATAAAACACTTAACATGGCTTAATGTATTAAGATACATTAAGTGCAATTAAAAGATCAAATTCGATATATAGTTATTATTGAATGTACTACAAGGCAAGCAGATGGCCATGAACACAATGCACAAACTTTCACTTGTCCTCCCATACAGCAAAACACTTAATGTTGTATAATAACGGACTAAGATGATAAAGACAATACAGTAGCCTATATGTCTTGTTGTTGACTCAAAGTATATACAGAACAGCAAATATGAACGTGCATTATGAAATGCATTAAGTGATTTTAAAAGGATCAACTCCGTACAGGCAAGCAGACGAGCCCAGAACGCAATGCGTTAAATTGCACGTTAAACAAACGCTTAAGGAGAGACTTTGTGCATTGCGTTCATATTCTGCTGTTCGGTGGCCACGGATTTGCGGGTCTTGTCTTTTTCTTGCAGGACCCTGTATGTTACTAAATTAGTTTTAATCGTTTAATCACCACTACAGCGTCTTGTCTCCATTGGCAACACGCACCATTTGTGTCGATTGCAAGTGAGGTCGCTAGCGGAAGCGCAAGTGTCTGAGAGTGCAAGGCAAAAGGGGGCGGGGAGCAGCAGCTCATTTGCATTTAAAGAGGCAGGCCCAGAAAAACAGCATGTTTCTGCTTCCACTCAAAATAGGCATTTTCAAAATGATATAATGATCTGTGGGGTATTTTGAGCTGAAACTTCACAGACACATTCTGTGAAGACACCAGAGACTTATATTACATATTGTAAAAAGGGGCATAATATGTCTCCTTTAAGCTGCAATAATAATAAAAGCGGTGTACATGCAAGCACCGAATTCATCATAAACAACAAAGATGCCGTGTAAGAGATTAATTGTGCAGTGTAGTCAGATTTTTTATTAACGGGAGTTTTTGCCAGATTAAACTGACATTTTTAGTAGCCTAATGTTGAGAGTTCTTTACTCGCTTTCCGTACACAGTTTATTCCATGTTGTTTTATTATTATTTTATTTTACAAGAGAACTTGCGAAGTCTTCATTTACTACTAATGCGTAAAATAGAAAAAAAAAATCAAAACGTATCTCCGACTGTTTTGTCTGTGTAGCCTATAAGAATAGGCCTATGTCGTGCAATAACATAGTTAATATAGTTTATAATATAGTTTTAATATATTCTATTCAATAACATTGTTAACTGTTTTTATTTATAACATCTGCTGCTTTGCTTCTGTGAAAATGAATAGACATCAGCCTTAAACTTTGTTTTTGGCCTTTACATCAGTTATATTTGTATAAAATACACTATATATTTTTGTGTCAGTACTGAAAAAAAAAACTTTTTATTAGTTGTCATAGCAAGTGATTTTAAAAGTAGGATGGCTCACTTTTTATAAGATGACTGAAAATTTTACTTGAATTCGTAGTTTATTCTTACTTTTGGAAACCTAATTGTTTTATAATTACTATTATTATTATTATTATGTCTGTTGTTTCTAGTAGTAATTTTGAGTCAATAGTAGTCAATAGAAAAAATATAACCACACACATTGTTTGTCCACAGAATAATTACATTAAATAAAATTAAATAAAATAATTAAATAAAAAGCGTCCCCGCATGAGCCTCTACCTCCGCCTGCAGGACCTCAATTTCAGACTCAGTAAAGTTTTTTTTTGTTTTTTTTTTTGTGCTCGTCATTCTCAAGCATAGAAATTTGGATATTGGCGTGTGCTCTTTTATATGGTAATGATATTAATTAGGGGGCGTTTACAAGGTGGAGATCTGACACCAGTCAGCTGCTCACAATTTCAAGATCATTTGCGATTTATAAATGTCACATCTGGAAGAGAGGCGTACGCACGTGTTTTTGTGCGCACGTTCGTTTTCGCTGAATCGCACTTATGCACTTTTGAGAAATGATCTTAGAACAAATTTAGGACGGTTTATACGCAACATTTTATAAACGAGGTCCGGGGTCTTTATAGGCTTTTAAAGTGTAATAATGTCCCATATCTGCAGTAGAACGTTTTTATATGAGACTGCTGTGCTTTATCCTGACATTGCACAAAGAATGATTGCAATCATTCAGTCAGTGACGGCTGCACAAAACGTAACTAATAGTACGTAACTAATAAAACATTATAAACGGTTACGAAATGATGAACAAATGTATGTTTGTTTGCACAACGCTAAAAATATATTCCGTTAATGAGATACAAGGCACGTCTGGGAAGCTCATGAATATTCATGTAAGCCCCGCCCACTGAAACTGAAAATCTCCTAGCTGTTGCTAAGCTTTATTTGTGCAAAATAATGGAAAAAGACTAAACTAATTTATAAAACGGGAGATTTAGCAGTGTCACGGTGTTGCCAGATTTTCCCCCATAAAACTACCTAACTTATATAAAACAAAAGATAAAATTGCTAGATGGGCAGTAGGAATTGTTTTTTTTTTATTATATCTTATAATAGTAGTAGGATTGTGGCAGGTTTACAAGGGATAAGGAATTTTCATTTTCCTGCCAATACACCTGAACGATTTAATCAGCAGTGACTTTTAATACTTTAAAATTAAATGTTAATCATTTAACGTTGCAATTAGCTTCAGAGCCAGATGTGAAACCAGCGGCTGTAATGATAGTTCGGTAGGTGCTTTTTTATTTATTTATTTTTTAAATTGTACAATCTTCAAGTAATTAACTCTTTATAGAATAGAAAGGAAAGCCTTGACTCTTCGCAAAGCCTCGTTTCACCATTACTAACTACAATGCTTTCAAGGCAGCACTGTACTGACGCTTACAAATGTAATAGCAGCACTGCAAATATGTTTCCTTCCTAAATGAATCAGTGTTTTTAAACGAATCAGTTGAGTCAATGATTCAATGTCTCAAAGTCAAGAGTTCATGTCACCTGCATAAAGGCTCACTGAAAAATCCAACAGACTGACAGCCAAACAAACAAGTGCAGTGATATCAACAAAAAAATTATTTATATTATTAAATATTTATATTTTAAAATAGCCATACATTCAATCTTATTTGTATACCTGTGTTGAAAACACAAAATGGAAAAATGCTTCTTGTCTGGTCACATTCGATTATGAATTGCATGAATCATGTGAATGACAGCCTATATTATTAAATCAAAATGGTGAAATTTGACCAAAAAAAAACTGAGTAGTTTGCATCACTGGATGTTACTGTGTAAAACTGTTCTCATGTTACATTTCTGACCCTATGTGTGAGCAATAATAATAATAGAGATGCCTCCTTTAGTGAGAATAAACACTAGACTTGGTTTTAAGGAAACAGCAGTTACATTTAGTAATTTATTAAACAAAAACGTTTCTTCAGAACTCGTAAAATTTTTTATGCATATTTGACATGAAGGCACTTAGCATCTGAACTGGTAATCCAACTAGAACTTGAGCTACTCTGAACAGCTCAACATGTAGTTGAGTTTCTTCAGCAGTTGTGTCCGCGTTTGGCGCGTCGCATGAAGGCTTTCTCGCTCCATTTGTTCGGCGGCAGCATGTAGGGTCCGTTGTGCACACAGAGGATGGTCATCTGCTCCGCGTACTGCAGGTTCTGCAGGAGCTACACACACACACACACACACACACACTCGATGATGCTCTAATATCACTGAACACGTCACACACACATCAGTCAGCAAACCTACCTTAGGTGTGATGAAGAAATACTGAGACGTGTTCACACCACACGCCGTCCTCACTACAATGTCAAACACTCGTCTCTCATTGACAGGATCCATGCCCTGAACAACACAACACACATCAATCAAACGACACACACGCACAACATGCCAACACACTTCACCTCAGGAATGTACAGACTATTACACAACTAACTCGATGCTCTTGAACTAAGGTAAATGATTTCATACCAATTCTGCAGTTCTGTCAGGACCACTATCGTCAAAGATGATTGACAATTAGCATACAGTTTGGATTGGCGGTATGGTTCTGTTCTGGGCAAGAACTCCCTGCGCATCCATGCAGCCTAGTATGGATGAGAGCAGGGAGAGCAGCAATAACCCCCCCCCCAGGGTAAACAGAACAGAACCAACATAACATTATTGAACTTTAACGATATCTGCAATACATTTATGTACACATTTTACAATTAGTCTGATTCAAAGGATGATCAGAAGGCTGAATCCTGACTGTCAGAGGGGGAGCTGGGGATGGAGGAGGGTAATTAGCTATTGAGCAATGCGAAAACTGCTGATACTACTGAGGGACCTTATATATGAATGCTTAGATAGGTGTCGTATTCCCATAGGTTGATGGGGATCAGCTGAGAGTCGGCTGATGCGAGCTTGACTAACGTGACCTGCCAGAACTAACGCTACGCTAGATTTCTGAAAACTCGAGGCATGATAAAGCATAATCTACTGACATAAAACAGTCTGCATAATGTTTATATGCGGTTAATGATTTAATTCCACAAGCCCAGCAATCAAATAAAAACAGTGTGATTTATGAATGCTGTGTGACTTTATTTACGACAATATTCAACAGCGATCAGGTGATTTCGGCTGGCGATGGACACGCACAACAAATATAAATAAATACATTTAAATATGAATTAGTAATAAATTAATAAATATTTATTGGTATGTTATTTCTTTATTTGTGGAAAAGATTTAACTAGGATTCCAGAACAGCGTGAGAAGTTGCTGAAGTATAAATGTTAAGTTTTTTTTTTTTTTTTTTTTTTACAGATTTAAAATCTATTTAAAGTTCTTTCTTTTTCTCCCAAACTGATTTCCAAATAAATTATGAAATATTTCGTAAAAATAATATAATGTGGCACTGCTGTGCATGTTTTTTCTATCTTTTAATTAAAATGTGTGACATTACATTCATTACAATCATCAGCAGCAGCAATTAAAAACCCCAGCTGACCAGTAACTAAAACAGAATTATTTTAGTATTTTTACTATACTAGCCTAGAATTTAATAACAGTTCAATTAGTTTTTTTAAGTTCTGTTTTCATTTTCATTTTAATAAAATGTTAGTTATGTTAGTGTTTGACATAAAAAAAAAAATTTGTCTAATTTTTATTCATTTTAGGGCTTTTTTAGTTTAGTTTTATGTAAAAATAACTGGACCGACTGTGTTAGACCAGTGTTATCTTAGTATCACTGAGACACTACTATAGTTCTTATGATTAGATTTAATTCATTTCGGGTTTTTTTTCATTTTAATTTCTAAGATTTAGTCATTATGTTGTGTTTTTGTTATTTTCATTAGTTGTTTGTGTCTATATAGTTTTTATTATTTTATTATATTTCAAAAAAAAATTTTTTTTTTTTTTTAAATATTTTATTTTAGTTTTAGTTATTTTAGTACATCAAGTTAAACTAAATTAAAATGAGAAATACTAGCTAAAGTAAAATAAGTATGAGTTCCTTTTAATATTTTTTTCAATAACAATTAGCATTTTTTTATGGTTTTAGTTTTAGTGAACAATAACACCACTGACAGAGATGTGATTCATGTAAATCCTTATTACTCTAATACAGCTAGGAATTTAAGCATCTATAAGAAAGACCAGCATTTTGTCTGGAACCGATCTGGTAAGCTGTGGAATAAAGTGAACTCAGTGATTGTGCATGTGTGTCTGAATGTGTCCCGTGTCTGTGAGTATTCACCTGGTTGATCTCGTCCACCACTCTGAAGGGGCAGCGGTTGAGCTCCTGCAGGGCCATGAGGTACAGCATGGTGGACACGCTGCGCTCTCCGCCGCTCTGATGGTGAGGCGTCAGCTCATGCAGCTGTGTGGTGCTGCGAAACTTCACCCGGATACGGATGCCGTACTTATCATACTCCTGAAACACATTTACACAACACTGCGTTTGCTGGAGTCTGGCTTATGCTGCTTCAAACAGTGTTTGCAGACGTTATTTTGCAGTACAAGATGAGAATGTGGCTTTTACACCAATAAAACGAACTGAGATTCAGCATTAATTGAACCCAGGACAGCAACAAAACCTCTTCTCTCATACAGCAACCAAAAGCCACCAAATGTCCTTCGCTGTCAGCTGGATGAAACCAAACATGAGAACGGGGCAGCCTGACACGATGTTATGAGAGTGTGTGAACGTGTCCTCACCTCGTTCTCCGAGTGCAGATCCACCTCTCCAGCGCACTGCATGGAGCGAAAGAAATCACTGAAGCGCTCGTTGATCTGATCCACCAGCTGCTTCAGAGAATTCAGCCAGCGCTCTTTGGCCTAACACACACGGTCACACTGGTTAGTGGTTTGTATGATGGTGTTGGTGTGACGTGGGTTGTGCTTTGTCAGACGCACCTCAGCAATGTTTTGTCTGTAGGTTCTCAGAGCGTTGGTCTTGTCGTCCAGCTCCTTCTCCATGTTCTTAATCTCCAGCTCACGTCTGTTATATTCCTCCACCACCTGACAGTAAAACCACAGCACATGAAACAGGAACTGACTGTACACTGAGCTCAACCCCATAGTTGTGCTGCTAACTGCGTCACACTGAGACGACATTCAGAATGAGAAACTGGACAACTAGAGAATGTTGTGGCTGATATAATATGCCAATGACTGTAATAATAGTCTAATACAGTTTCCACGATGCAGAAAACTAGTATGATAAAACAGCGCTGCTTTACCCCACATACGCACGACCGGAAGGAGCGGAAGCAGTCGACTGTGGCATAATAAAAGCTCCGCTGCTTTCGAGCCATGTGTCATGCTCATTCAGTGGCCTCGTTTCACTTGGATGGCTTTCAGGCTCACCCTGCTTCATTCTACAACGTTAATAAATCATTAACTCATCCATGAACATGATTTCTGCCCGAGTCCCGTCGGATTGCATCGGCTGTGGGGATGAAGACCACAACTCCCATGATTCCACACTCAGTCACGGCGTCATCAAACTACACCTTTGTCTCTTTGTTTATTTTGAATACGCACCCTCTAGCAGCGAAAATTACATATTGTGCCTTTAAAGCCAAAGTATACTTCGGTTTTTACATGTACGTGAGAGTCCACATACAGTGCGCGTGACGCAAATTTTGTCACCAGAATAGTATGTGTGTACTGTACGCACATTTTTTGTACTTTGTATGCGCAGGTCGCACATGCGCACTGAATTTGTTTTGCACGACTCAGTTGACTGTACGTATACACTAGCGCACGTGTAAAACACTGAAGTATACTTTGGGCTTTAGAGATGCCCACACCAGCTCTTCTTGATGTGAGCTTTCAGCATGAAGTAAGGATTAACTAGTAGCATTATAAAGGCAGAGGTCAGGTTAAGCATGGATGAGCTGATGTGTTTGTCTCACAGCAACACTGAGGCCGGTGAAGCACTCAGCTCTGGTCTTCTCCTCATTCAACATGGCATCAATCTCATCCAGTGTATCGGGCAACTGGCTGAAGTCCTGAAAGGAAACGACACACACAATTTTGTAAAATAAGGAATTACAGGCTGAATGAAAGATGAGGGGAGTCTGAGGCAGACGGAGCTCACTGCGTGTAGTTCATCTGGGACGGCCGTCTCTCCGGGGCTCATTTTACAGATTGCACTGGCCCTACTCATCAGGGTCTTACACTTGGCTAACAGATTGGTCTTTATCTGGTCCAACTTGGTGTACACCCCCTGTACGAACACACAGACACATGTTCAGGGTCTTACTGTGCGCAATTCATCAGTGAATGAGAATATTTTAATTAAGGAGAGATATGAGGGCATGCTCTTGTTAAAATATACTGTTATCCTGGAATATTCAAGTTGTCAATCTGAATAATAAGACTGTTACGACAAATTTAATCAAGTCAACTTTTAAATAAAGAATATTAGAAAATAGATGACTATTTTTTTTAACACATGCCATCATTCAAAAGTTTGGGGTTGGTAAGATGTTTTAATGTTGTTAAAGTGTCTTTTGTTCACCAAGATGGCACTTATTTGATAAAAAATTATAATTAAAACAGTAATATTCTAAAATATTATTATGATTTAAAATAACTGTTGTCTGTTTTTAAATGTAATTTATTCCTGTGATCAAATCTGAATTTTCAGCATCATTACTCCAGTCTTCAGTGTCACATGATCCTTCAGAAATCATTCTAATATGCTGATTTGCTGCTCAAGAAACATTTCCTATTATTATCAATGTTAAAAACCGTTGTGCTGCTTCATATTCTTTGTGGAAACTGTGATACTTTTTTTCAGGATTCTCTGATAAATAGAGAGTTCAAAAGAACTGCATTTATTTAAAATAGAAATATTTTTCTAACATTACACTAGGGCTGCCACAAACGACTATTTTTATTTCGATTAATCTATCGACTAATTTATTGATTAATCGATTAATCTAAACGATTAATTTCCCACCAAAATCAACCATTTTACTTAAGAATATTTTATTAAACCAAATGAAATCCAAATTTCTATGAAATCCTTTTTTTAAAGCAAAAGTAAAGTGCAACATAGAGTGCAATAAGCAAGTGTCCATCTCACAGTCCAAATCACTGAAATCAAAGTTCAGTATTATAGTGTAAGAATGACAACATATCCACGTATTCTAGTCTACTAATAATACAATTATAATCAAAAAACACTTTTAAAAGGAGTATTTACCAGAAATGTTATTTACCAGAATTTATTTAGGAGAAAAATTTAAATGTGCAGTATTTCTGAAAAAAAAAGAAAGAAAAAAAACTTAAAAAAAATAAATAAAATCAATTAATTGGAGATGCTTTTTATTAGGGATGCACCGATACCACTTTCGTTTGGTATCGGGGCATTTTAACGAGTACGAGTACAGGAGGCCAGTATCGGGCCCGGTGCATCCCTACTTTTTATCATTCAATTTTAATGGAACCATTAAAATGGAATCCAGAAAAGGAGCTAATGTACATTACGCATTACAACAAAGGCCTGCAGGGGGCGTCAACTGCCTGCCGTTTGTTTTTACACATTGCTGTGCGATCTAATCCTAGTTTAATGTTGACCAAGCACCATTTAATTCAAATGTCTACTTAATCTTTGATATTTGGCCATTTCTTTAGGACAGAAATGCTATAGCCACTGTAATTAAATGAATATGTGGACATCAAAACGTGTCAAGCTCCACACACATGTAAATGATAACAGTTCCTGTGGAACTACTGTGAACGGAGCCGCTTTGTGACGCACGTACTTATCCTACACGCATGTAAATAATTAAAGCACATATACTGAATTGGAACTGCATCGCATATAATTATTTAATTAAATCGTAGCGTTTGTGAATTCACAATTATGCTTAATTATGATTTTTTAAATGGGTTTAATATATCATGCAGCCTTGGGAAACAGTCTAAATGTGTTTTATGGATTCTCGTCCGTGAAATGCGCCACTTCCGGTATTTTGCCGGTTAGTCGACGCAAGCAATATGAAGTCGAGGATTTAAAAAAAATTGAATAGTCGAATAAAATCGACGAATCGCGACAGCCCTACATTACACATGCTTTTACTTTTGATCAATTTAATGTGTCCTTGCTGAATAAAAGTATTCCTTTCTGAAAAATAAATGTTACTAACCCAAACTTTTAACTGATAGTGTAACTGTATTAATGCAATATTACATTATAATTTATATAAGAAAAACAACAGAAATGGGTTTATAAAAAGACCCTAATTTATTTGTTGACTATCCCATTTGACTAGAAAATATGTCAGTAAAATGCATTGCTAATGTGACAGATTCTCTTACCTCTGCTTGCTTGAGTTCAGCTAAACTGTCCCTGCAGTCCGTCTTCAGTTTGGTTTTCTCAGCAGAGAGACCTGCGCTCTGGAGAGCCAAGTACACCTTCTCCATACTCATTCTGGCCTTCATCTACAAACACACATATGAAGCCATAAGACACAGAACAGCTGAAGGTAGAAATCAACCTCCGGAGAGCACCAACACACCTGCATGCGACTCAGATACTCCTCCATTATGGCCACTTTCTTGTTGTTTACAGCCGCGATCTTGGTATTCGTTTCCTCTTCAATTGCCTGCAAGTTGATCTCGTTCTGCTCCATCTGCCGCAAACTGCACAGAGAGAAAAAGATATAAAAGATAGCGGATTTAAAACAAAGCTGCACACAGCTGGTTTTAGGAGGAAGGTACCTGTCCTGTTTTGTGCTGATTTTCTGCTCCAGCTGTCTCTTCTTGCCTTTCAGCTCAGACAGTTTCTTCTTCTTAGCACGCAGCTCATTATCATGGCGGTCCAGTTTAGTTAGCTGCTCACGAACGGCTGCCATCCGTTGATCACATCTCTGCACCTTCCTCTCTGCTGCCTGTGAGCCAAACGTCAAATCTGAGGTCATTACACTTATTCAGTTGATCTCCTTTCCATTTATTATTTACAGCTGTACCAGAGTAAAAAAAAGTGGAGAGTTGTGACATATAGCTTAAAATGCTTACAAAAAGCAGGCTCTCAAATGGTTTGAAGGGTGATTTCTTTCCTAATGACTGATTTAACAAACACCAACATTTAATCTTGTGTCGTCACGAGCCGTAGGGTTTAATTTGGATTTGTCTGTGCATGTTTTTTTTACTCATAGATTTTGTTACCATTGCCATGCATTGTACGACTGAAAGACTGCAACGGTTAAAGTTAAAAATCATCAAATGTGTTCTACTGAAGAAACAAAGTCACCTACATCTTGGATGCCCTGGGGGTAAGCAGATAAACATCAAATTTTCATTCTTGGGTGAACTATCCCTTTAATCAAATAAATGAATACATACCAATGTGCCCCAACATTTAAATCCTAAAGCAGTGTAGACAGTGTGTCTCACCCTCAGCTGCTCCTCCAGCTGGTGTCTCTCGTCTGCATCTATGGTCATAGTGAGGAACTGCGAGGGTCGCAGGGCCGAGTTACTGGACACCACATTATTAGAGTAGTTGGACTTCTTCACGTTGTACTTCTCCTCCGCTGTGTAGATCACCCTCAACTGAAGCTCTCTGATCACCTGCCACAGAAAAACATAAGTTACAGATTGTAGGGCCCTATGAATTCAGCTTTGGCTTTTACCAAATTCAGCATTTTTTTTTTTTTTTTTACAAATTCTGTGTTTCCCATTTTAATGGAATTTAATTTCAATAACAAACAAAGGCACGGCTAATCAAGTGAATTCATAAAACCTAATAACTTTAACAATAACAGGGCCCTAAAAAATTTTTTTTTTCTTCTTCAGAAATTCTGTAATTTAATACAAATTTATTATCATAAATGGTGGTGTGGAAGTGGCTGCTCTGGAGATGAAGTTCATGACCTCAAATATTGAAGCTTGTGATGTTTCACTATGTGTTTAGAAGACAAAACTCTGCCACTCATTCAGTTATTCAGAACTTCATATTCATTCAGACTTCATATCTATCGTGCTTTTATATTCAGACACTGTAGCCCATATCACGATTTGTTTATTGTACAGCCCTACCTTTTTTTTAAAAATATATACAGTAAATTCAATTTTTATAACTGGATTCTGTGATTTTGCATCACAAAAATCAATGTGCCCTAGGCTTGTAAAATATCTGAATCACTGACGTGCACGGGGGGACGGGGGTCTTGAGTCCCTGCCCCTTTAGTCACCTGCCCTTTCTGTCCAATCTAGGGGCCCCAGACCGCGATTTGAACTGAGAATTCGAACCAAAATTGCTGATTTGAATCATTCGTTTACATTGAAATGTATGCATTTGACAGATTTGACAGATCCAAAGTGAATTTTACATTACATGCAAGCTATACTTTTTTTTTTTTAATTCATGTTATCTCTGGGAATCAAACCAATGACCTTGGTGCTGATAGTGTCATGCTCTGTTACAATAATAGGCTACAGAAGCATATTTACAAGTTGATAATGAGCAGCTAGGTCACTTAGCAGTTTAAGTTTATTGCCACATCAGCTTCACAGGCTGTTTGACGGCAAAGATTATACATTAAAAATATAGAACACAAAATACAAACACAATAAACATAAATAAATTAATAAAAACAAATTATAAAACAAAGTATTACACATAAATTTCTATTAAAAAGATACTTTAAATTTACTTTTGAAAGAAATTGTAAAAGTTTTTCTGGGTCCATCTTACAAAACTAGTCCTTAAGAGTTTGTCCTGATAATAACCTTTGTCAGCTAGGTCACTTACTACATTCATACGCACAAAACTACAAAAAAAAAATGTGTATTAAGATTTGGGGCAACTGAATGATGGAGGACCTACCATCTCGATCATGCTCTTGGTCTTCTCTGTTCCTACAGGCACATCATTGACTCTGTACTGATGGCACAAGTAACTCATGACCTCCTCAGGAGCATCGAACAGCTCACGCAAATACGAGAAGAAGCCATAACGCCTGACACAAAGAAAAAAAAAACAATGTAATAAATGTACTGAATAAGACGTCTTGGTAGTGGTCGAGTAGAGGGTGTTACTTCAGAGTCTCCAGGGGTCGTGATGGAGGTCGTTTAGAGCAGGACTCCGCTGGAGCGATGACGCTGTTAACTCGCAGCCTCTGTGTGTCTCGCACCTGAGAAAACCACACATTTGACCGATTTTACTTACTCTCTATTATAAATGTTTATTATTCTATTATTTTATTGCATTATATTATTTTTTGTTTATTGTTAGAAAATAACACAAATTATATAACACATAAGAATCACAAATGAAGGCTTTAAACTACATCTAGACATGACACTAGTGTTGTCACGGCACCATAAGTTCAGTATTCGGTACCAATACCAGTGAAAATCCACGGTTCTCGGTACCAATTTCGGTACCAAAGCAAAACACAAAAACATGCTAATTAAAAAATGTGACTATACTTTCATTTAATCCAAACTGTGCACATATTTAATTTTAAAGGGCTTTTGAAAACCTATTCCCCGGTAACGGCTGTACACAAAGCAGCGCTCAGCTCACAAACATTGCTCAGGCATTACAGGCAAGATGAAATGAGAATGACATCCAAAATTTTCTGAAGACAGTCGGTCTTCCTTCAGAAATACAGTGATATAAAAACACCCGCACCGGGTTTCGACTTTCGACTTTGACACGTGCAGTGCTCATGTTTATTCAACGAAGTCAAAGCCTTTTGGAAAATCTATTTGTGGCTGTGAGTTTTGATATTGTGGCGGGCCGCCTCAAATAAATCAATGTATGGGAAACACAAGATCTAAATATTAAAAATTAAAATGAAACTTACCTGCTTGAACTCTTTCATTTGATCTGGGTGTCTGTCTTTAAAGTGTTTTGTTAGTTTGGTGTGTTTCCTCGTTTTGATGTCGCCACGTCTCAGTGCTTTTTGATGTTGCCACGTCTCAGTGCTTTTATGAAGAGAGCGCATCTGCGCACCTTTCGGATAGCGCATCAAGAACCGGGTACTTAAAAAAACCTGGTACCATAACGCTTTCATTTTTTTAGTACCGACTTGGTACCGAAGTACCGGGTCTTTTGACAACACTACATGACACATTTTGGTAACAGGATTTCAATCATTACCAACTTCATAATAAATGAACTGAAAATTGTTCATATAATATTTAGTTGGACCTCCTAAGGTGAACAATCAATAATCAAAATGATTTTTTTTATTGCATCAGCTTCTTTCTAAGTACTACACACTGAGCTTCTCACCTCTGTCATGAACTTCTCCATGTCCTCCTGTCTCTGAAAGACAAAGGCTCTCAAGTCGTTGGCAGGAATTTGACTCTCAACGTATTTTGCGTGCCGAGCATCACGGACATTAATCTGGCAACAAAGGGAGAGAAGATCAAACCGATCTGCTTGAACACCCATCTCCAAGAAACAGCACCTGAATTAGCAGCTGTGCTCTCACCACCAGCATCATGGGATCATAGACGTTGCCTTCGAAACGATCACGGTTATTCCTCAGCCACATGAGGGCGGTGTAGGTGTCACGGAAACGGACGCGCAGTTTATCCTCTTTCATCTTCATCATGTCCTCCAGACTCCTCAGACGATTCTGCAAACCTTCAAAAAAAACAACCAACAAACTAAAAATCAGTAGCATGACAAATTACTAATATGCTAAAATTTAGTGATTTCTCCATAATAGAAAAAAAAAAATTATTATACAACACATTTCAACCCTCTACATTGTGAGTAAATCACTCATTCATCATGTCCTCCAGACTCCTCAGACGATTCTGCAAACCTTCAAAAAAAACAACCAACAAACTAAAAATCAGTAGCATGACAAATTACTAATATGCTAAAATTTAGTGATTTCTCCATAATAGAAAAAAAAAATTATTATACAACACATTTCAACCCTCTACATTGTGAGTAAATCACTCGTATATGCGACTAAATCTTCACTCTGGGCAACTAAATGTCTATCATTAGCCATTGGCTAATAAATTCTTAGATTTTACTCGCCAGTGTGAGAGTTGGAGGGCAAGTATAAGTTTAGCATAGATATATTTTCACTTCAGTGGGCGGAGCTAATGCGCAAACGGCAATCTCATTGGCTGGCGCTCATCTATTACCGTCCCTGTTTTGATTTCAGCAAATCAGATCTGGCGAACGCTGACAACGTGATTAATATTCATGAACCCAACAGCTCATCAATCCTTAGTGCGCTGTATATTGTTAGTACAGTAGTAGAATTTGTAGTAGTATTATCTTTTGATAATAATTACTAATATCTATTACTATTAACTTTTTGTTTACAGAAACCCTGAATGACCAACAATATCTTAAGCATCACCACCAGTCCTAAGTTCAGTTAAAATAACAAATATGCATTTATACATGGTTACCTAGTTTAGTTCTAATCACTAAAGTTCTATCATTAAATAGTGCTTAATTATCATAATATCATAATGCTTGACTGACTGATGTTAAGAGTGTACTTTCAGATATTTAGAAGTTGTGCCATTTTACAAAGATAAGCTGTATGTATATGTGTGTGTGTGTAAAATAGTACATCAGTCTGGCGAGTAAACTAAAAAATGTACTAGCCAATGGCGATTATATTGGCAAGGTGTGCGTAGAGGGTTGCATTTGTATGTTTTTCAGCTACTAAAGTCCAGTGTTGGGGGTAATGCATTACAAGTAACGCGAGTTACGTAATCAGATTACTTTTTTCAAGTAACTAGTAAAGTAACGCATTGCTTTTTAATTTCAAAGAGAATATCTAAGTTACTTTTTCAAATAAGTAAAGCAAGTAACTTTTTTTCCAGTTTATTGATTGACAGCTCTCCTGTCCCCATGTTGAGAGAAATCAGAAGATGTTACTGTAGCTCTAAAATAAATATGAATATGCATTAATTCATCTCACTCACACAAAAAAAACACAGATTCAGTATTCCTCAAAATGAATAAAAATAATGCAACTCAGAATATGACGCAAACCTGCAATAATTAAATGTTAAAAAACACAAATATCCTTTATGTATTTAATCCCATTCTATTAACCAATGTCTTTGCTTCTGACCTCCGATGATCCAGTTCAACCATACTAATAAGCAAAAATTACTCTAGACAACATGTGTCTTTTTTTATTGCTGAAGTGTGTTGAAATCATCTTCTGCATTCTACAGTACGGATGTAAATTTACTTTCCCTTCAGCCTGAGGCTTATTCATTTCACTTTTGGTGTGAAAAGGCTTTTACATTTGCCAATGTGTTGAAATTTCTTCTTCTGCATTCTACTGTACGGACGTGAATTTACTTTCCCTTCAGCCTGAGGCTTATTCATTTCACTTTTGGTGTGAAAAGGCTTTTATATTTGCCAAAAATAGAACTTTTTTATTTTAAAAACAAACAAGCAAGCCCTGTCCAGATTTAAAAAGTAACGCAAAAGTAACGTAACGCATTACTTTCCATAAAAAGTAACTAAGTAACGTAATTAGTTATTTTTATAGAGTAACGCAATATTGTAATGCATTACTTTTAAAAGCAACTTTCCCCAACACTGCTAAAGTCATCTTAAACATTACGGTGTAATTCTCCAGAGGCTTCGTCTTTGTCTCTGCGCAGGTCCAAACTCTCGCCCTCCAGTTTGGCTTTTTCGTCCTGGATGTTCTTCAGCTCTGCGTTAACAGCCTCGATCTGAGGCGTGACATCCTCCATGCTGCCCATGTTCTGAAGCTCCTTCTGCAGGTCTTTGATCATGAGCTGCGTGTGTCCGATCCGCTTCTGCCGGTCCGCCTCCTCCGTCTGCTTCAGACTCAGGTCCTGTCTGATGTTATCAACCTAAGATTTGAAGAACACCAATCAATCAGAGTTATAATATGGTCTTTAATAGTGTTATAAAGCGCTCTCTTTAAATGTTCTGTAAGTGGTTTCCGAACAAACCTCTTTATTCCTCAGTTCAAGCTGATCGTGTTTCTGCTTACATTTCTGTGATGCATCTTTGATACCAGCAGTCTGAAAAGAAAAAAAACACGGGCATTACTTTTCTATAATAAAGGAAATAAAACAGATTCTTGGTAGGGCTGGGCGATAAAAACTCTAGGGATAATCATCATAACGATATAATTTTCCTCTAATGATAACAAGAGTTTGATAAATGTTTGATATAATGTTTATGCGCCAAAAGCGGAAGGAAACAGCGCGACTCATTTGAAGCGTGTCACACGGAGCGTTTATCCGCTCGGCTCAGAGTTCAAATGGCAGCAGATGCAGAAACAGATGTGTTCACTCGCTGACGAGTCTCAGTCACACGACACTAAACAGCGCTGTGAGATCTAGTGTGAAGCGCTTCAATTCAGCGAAGAACACAAATTATTTAAAGGGGTCATATGATGCGATTTCACGTTTTCCTTTCTCTTTGGAGTGTTACAAGCTGATTGTGCATAGATAAGATCCCTGAAGTTGCAAAGACTAAAGTCTCAAAACCAAAGAGATATTCTTTATCAAAGTTAACACTCTGCCACGCCCCCCTAAAACGGCTCATTCTAACACGCC